GTAGTAGTAGTAGTAGTCGTAGTAGTACTCGTAGTAGTAGTAGTAGTCGTAGTAGTAGTAGTAGTAGTAGCAGCAGTAGTAAATGATGTCACCACATCCTTAAATCAAGTGGCATCAACAGATGTGTTTCTAAATTATCATAAGGATCACCCACGAAGGCTGGTAATAAACCCACTTAAATAAATGTATTTTTCATATGTTGTATTTTCCAAGGGCAGAGTAAATGTGATTTATTGGATTAATGTGTGCAAATAAAGTCCAGATATTTGTTAAAAAACATAAACTGTATTCTTTCCTCCTCCACTTTTCTCACCATTGATCTTCCCCATCTTTCACTGTCACATCCTTTTAGCTGTAGATGTCTTTTTAATAGTTCAACACATTAAGACTGAACAGATTCCTCTGATTACAGACATTTGATGCGTTGGATCACTGACCACTACGCTGTCAAGCCTCCATGTTTGATTTGTGACTGTGGCCAGTGGATTTGATCTCAACACGATCGACTAATTATGAATTATGGACATGATTTGTGCTATGAGCTGCAGCGAACTGTGTCCACAAGTGTGTGGGAGACAGCCCTGCTGGGCCTTAGTGCGTATGTTTAAGCGCATAGGAGGAACATTAACATGATATCACAAGAGATATTCAAATGTTACTACTTTAACTATTTAGCTCCCAGTGAACTCCTTGTGAAGTCTGGCAGGGAGTCTCAGCTTCAGTCAGAGTGCAAAGTTCCTCTTCCTCTACAGCAGGTCGATGTATTCATTTAGAAACACCAACCATCATCATCCTAATGAGCAGGGGAACTAGGCAGAGACCCTTATGTCCGTAAACATGCAGAACTAAGAGAAAAAAGCAGTTTTCCCAACAAGAAGTTCATAAAGTAATGTAATGTGATCACATCGTAAGGTTGATAATAAATAAACTGCACATTAAACACGTCTACCCTTCTTGATTTTTATGTGATTGTTTTTATTTTTGTTCCCCCCCACAGGAACCGATGGCTAATGGCTTCCAAGGTCCCTCTTCCTCAATGTCTTCTCCATCTCATTTGTTGATCGGCTCCTACAGTGTGGACAGGGAAGTATTGAAAAAGCTGATAATCGGGGTCACTCTGGCAGCAGCCATCTTGTCCTACATCGTAGAGAAACTGTACACATAGAGTAAATGCAAACTAGAAGAAGGTGGTGAAGCAGGGAGAGGACGGTGGCATCACAGCAGCCCACACTGTGTTGGCAGCAGCTGAATTGAATTGATCAAGCTGTCACCTTGAATCCCCCGTAACATACTCCACATTGTCTTTTTCAACTGATTAAGTCAGTGTCACCTTCACAAATGTATTAGTGTATTTAAATGCTCTGTGAGAAATCTCTTGTTTCTGATACAGTTAGATTTGTAATTAAAGAGAGACCTTTTAAATAAAGGATTTAGTTTTACTTTTCATTCATTTTACTCAGCTGGCTCCAAACAAAGTGATGTCAGGGTCGCCTTATGTCATTGAAGGAAGAATGACTGCATGGGCAAAGACAGGTCAGCAGTCTTTACAGACCTTGGTAAACACCTTTTTATAAGAGTCTTTTTGGTACAAATAACACCCAAGTTACATTTGATTTGAATTATAACCCATTAGAAGTTCCTATACTTTCATATTTCTGTTTGATGTTAGTAGAACATTTCCTAAGTGTTGGCTCTTTCAGGAAGACGCTATGCTTGCTTGTTCACTGATGTCCATAGTTTGGTAAATAAGTGTTTTGGATCATGTCTTTGGGTCTATGTTGTTGTTGCAGGGATACATTAAGCACAATTATATTCGTCAATACTCGTGGAAAAAACTCTGTGCCAGAACAGAAGTGAAGATGATGATGAAGCTGTCAGTCCCTGAGTTACAGAGTGATTCTGTGTAAGAGTGTGTGTAATACTTTGGTTAGGCTTATTTTTAACTTTCATTTCAAAGTATTTATTTAACAAGAGACATGGAAAGTATATTTTCAGTTCTTCATAACACACTTCTTTCTCCTTGTCTTTGAAGGGGTTTGATAGCAGTATTTTTTTTGTAATGTGATCTTGGTTGGTTTTGTTTGTCATTTTCTGTTTTTAACTCATAATGACCCATTATTTTGTCTTACAGATTTGTTTGATTTGCATTGTTTGGTGTCAACTGAAAGCATTGTTTCGAAAATGTCTCACTTACCTGTAGTGGTCTTTAGCTGATCTCCACTTTTTTCCAATTTCTGCTGCCAACCTGATCCAATGAAGGTGAACAAGGACACATGTTCAGGAAATAGTATGCATTGCTAGATACCACTTTAGAGGAATGAGATTTGTTTTTGCTTCATAAGAAATTCAGATGAACTGTCCCTGTAATACAAATACTTTTTTTGGGTTAGTTGTGTTGTACAACGTCTGAGTCTAAATGTTTTTATTTGTACTAGCATTGTCTTAACCATCGAAAGCTGTTTAATAAAGGACAACACATTTTGTGACATGTGAAATGATGGATCACTGTCTGATTGATTGAATTATTAACATACATGACATAATACACTGACTTTTGTTTAGCATACTATTTGATTTTGAAGGGAGAAAATCAAGGCATGAATGTTTTTGACAAAAAAAAAACACATCAACAGTTCATCAAAAGTGCTTAACTTTATTTATTTTGTCCAAAAATAGAATAAAATCAGAGTTCAGAGTTCTTACAATAAGTAACCCTGATCTGCCTTTCAAACTTTTCCATGTTGCGTTCTTAAATTGAAGACACTGCCTGGAAATTCATTGGAAATTCCTTTAAATGAATGATTAGGAAGATGCAGAACTATATACTAAATACTAAAGTAGTGTCAAATTAAAATTGGAGGATTCCCATTTTTCTAACGTGCTCTGTATCGCACACTAATTGTCAGGAATAGAGTCTGTTGTGTTTCTCTCTGATGTGTTCTGTTTTGAGGCCCCAACATGTTGTCTGATATTTCCGAAAGTCAATAATGCATGCCCCAATTTGTGTGTCGCATTGCACTGGCACATGTGTCTCTGTCAGTGTGTCTTTCATGTGTGTGTACATGCCCTGCATACATTCCTAGTCACAAGTGTCTCTTTCAGCTCGTTTGTGAGCTTGTTTCTGTGTCACAAGGTGTGTGTGTGTGTGTGTGTGTGTGTGTGTGTGTGTGTGTGTGTGTGTGTGTGTGTGTGTGTGTGTGTGTGTGTGTGTGTGTGTGTGTGTGTGTGTGTGTGTGTGTGTGTGTGTGTGTGTGTGTGTGTGTGTGTGTGTGTGTGTGTGTGGTTCAGGAGTGACAGGACTCATCACTCTCTCATCCAGAAAGCCCTGTTATTAGAGTACCACTGTGTGTAGCCTACACACACAAACACACTGCCTTTGTATTATCTTAGTATATCATGCATTTTACCCATTCTGTTGACACCTACATGCATGTACCCTGGCTTTTTGGTTTCTAGCTGGAGTATGTCACACACATATGTATGGACAAATGTTGCACAACAAGAACACTTGCACACAGGCACCAAAGCTTTATATTACCTGATCAAATGAAGCGTGTCTCACACACACTCACACACGCTAGCTTTGTATTATGTGATCAAATGATGCGTGTAGCTATGAAGCCTGCTACATCCATCCAGCAGTGCCCCATATTATTCTGCAGTCATCCATACTGTGTGACAGTTCTTTTGATGCTTTGTAAGCACATTTCCTCCCTGTGTATGTCAGTTACACTGCATTGTTCTCCAATGAAATATGGATGCAATGACACTCTTTATGTTTGGGAGATCACTTACTATGAAATATTGAGGCGGGAACCATGGAAAGGAGATCATTATTCACTTGGCATCATTCACTTCACTTGTTTCTAATAAAAGCAAGAGTTTCTGAATTCTCGTCTTAGTTGCAGCTGTTGGCAATTTGTCATCTGCACAGTGAAGTCCTTTTGATGCGAAACGGAGCGACTTTGGACACGAGACAAAATGCAAGGGAGGTTGAACATAAATGCACTTGCCTGTGTCCTCTCTCATTTATCATGTCATTTCATTTAATTGCTTTAAGGGTTTTGCATTCAAGTGGTTCAGCTTGCATAAGAAAGGCGTTTATGTTTTGAGACCATGTGTTTTTATAATGGCTGAGATGCCACATTATAACATAAAGTGAAGTACCTCAGGATAAATCATGGGTTTGTTTTGAAAATGTGATGTTGACATCTTATATTAACTGGTTTCACTTGTACATCAAACTAAGGTCTTGCACACATATATTAACAAACAAAAATAAATAAAAAACCACTATTAAGAGTGTAAAGCTCAAGAAAATATGAAGAATTTGCCTAATAGCAGTCTGATTTTAAAAACAATTATCAAATGCTGCATAATTTGTAAGAGACAACAAATATATATATATATATATATATATATATATATTATGCGTTTGGAAAGGTAGAACTGCTTCTATATATTGTTGCCCAAATTAAATGTTTTTTATTTGGATACTCAGATGTACTAATTTGTGAAAAACCTCCAAATGACGCCACCCTACAATAAAGTGTGTGTGCATCAAGTAAGCCTTATTGCTTAAGCAGAGGGATGAACCCATAAAACATTATTATTCGTGTCCTAATGGTGAAAACTGACTGTTCTCTGTTCAGCACATCACTCTGTACTGATGCAGTGGTCATTATTCTTAAAAAAACGGACGTGAGCCATAAGTTATAAAACAATGGATTACCATCAACAGCATCTTGTGTACTGAAATAAAAAATGCATGTTTCAGGCATCAGATGTGATCCCCCAGGACCCAGTAAAGTAAGAGCGTGAACAAATAGCTGCTCTTCTCCTGTAGCTCGGTAATTATCCTACATGCTGAACTGAGAAAAAGTTTGGGAAACACATTCAACTTTAGACAGATTTCACAGAAGATGGGTTCAGTTCTAACAATCCCTTTTTTAATTTGTACAATATACACATCCATTGGTAGACGATTGAATTGATGCCAACAACTGGCATAAGTGTAGCTACTGCCGAGGGTCTTGACAGAAGCTAACATGTAGCAACTGACAGCTCCTCATTAGCCACCATCACAGGCTGTGACCTTTTCATTTCTGCCTAATGAAGTGAATTCCTCAATAACTTCTGCATCCATTACTTGGATAATATTGCTGGAAGTTCTGCGTGTGTGTTTGTATGGATAACTTTATACGGAGAAGCCGTCACATAAATCATTAATTGTAATAAATTGATTCTTTTTATGGAGTCATTTGAATCATAAATATCAAAATCCAAAGCATGACTTTTCAATAAACCCACTCTACAGTGCCCCATTTTTTAATATGCAATAATGAAATGCAGGGAAATGTGAAGACAGAAGGGTTTTTTCATGGTGTGATTCCTCTCTGCTGAGGTTTGTTATCTGGGTGTAACACTTTTTTCATGCAAGCAATCAGTAAATTGTGGAGAGAAACCCTGACATAATTACAATGTTGATGTTTGTCAGGTGAAGCCCAATTTAGCTCAGACAATTTACCATGCTGTCAGCGTGCTTCAAAACTGTTCCATTAAAAGTATCATCCTTTTTTGTGTGTGTTTTAGCTCATCATTTTTTACCAACTTCCCACTACATGTCACTCAAAGTGGCAGCAGCTTCTTCAGAGATTACAGCGACAATAACGTTGAAGGTGCAATTAAAATATTGAAAGGTTCAAAGCTTTGACATTTACTTTAGCATTGACATTAACTGACATAAAACATTCAAATACTACTCTGTGTGTGTAGCTGGAGAGAGGAGGTGTTCTTAGCCCACACAGTGGCCGTCTCTTAATGTCGAGTAAAGCTGCTGCAGAACCACTATTTCAAGTACTACGTCATCGAGTGGCGCCGAAGGACTGTTTAAATGCCCAGCATTCGGCGCCACTCGATGACGTAGTATACTTGAAATAGTGGCTCTGCAGCAGCTTTACTCGACATTGAGAAACAGCCAGTAACCCCAGTGAGTGACACTACCTTACAACAAAGGCCTGGCTTGTGAAATGTTAATAAATGTTTGTGAGTATTTGTACGTGCATGTGTGTTCCTGTGTCGCTGCCCCACCTTGACCCTGCTTTGTTTTGAAGAGACAGAGAAACAAGGTAATAAGTTGTTTTTCTATTTTCCCTCATCTTCTTCCTGTAAAAGTTAGTGCACTTTCTTGACTTGACTAACTTCAGAATCAGAGATGGGTTTATTGCCAGGTAGGTTCACACATACGAGGAATTTGACTTGATGACATGGTGCATACATAAAATATAAAACAAAAACTCTCCATATAAAACAAAAAATCTAATATAAAACAAAACATCTTTAAGGACACTAATAAAATATAGATAGAAGGCAATACAATAAAGCAGTAATTTACAGTGAAATAGAATGCAGTGAATTATAGAATATGAAATAAGAAATATGTGCAGTAAGCAGTATTTGAACATTGTGTGCATTAATGTAATGCATATAGAGTCTGTGTTGTGGCTGAGGTAAAGTGTCAGTGGGGGGGCTGGGCCTTGTTTAAGAGGCCGGTAGCAGAGGGGAAGAAACTGTTCAGGTGGTGAGAGTTTTGGTCCTGATGGAGCGCAGCCTCCTGCCAGAGGGGAGGGGGGTGAGCAGTTTGTGTCCAGGGTGGGAGGGGTCGGCCACTATCTTCCCTGCCCGCCTCAGGGTTCTGGAGGCCTGCAGGTCGTGGAGGGATGGCAGATTACAGCCGATCACCTTCTCTGCAGAGCGGATGACCCGCTGCCGCCTGCCCTTATCCTTGGCTGTGGCTGCAGCGTACGATGATGGAGGTGTAGAAGTTCACCATCATTGTCTTTGGCAGGTTGAATTTCTTCACCTGCCTCAGGAAGAACATCCTCTGCTGTGCTTTTTTGATGAGGGAGCAGATGTTCTGCTCCCATTTGAGGTCCTGGGCCATGATGGGGCCCAGGAAGCAGAACGACTCCACAGCAGTTACTGGGGAGCCACACAGAGTGATGGGGAGTCACACAGAGTGATGGTGGCGGGTGGGGCTGCGTTCTTCCTAAAGTCCACAACCATCTCCACTGTCTTGAGAGCCTTGAGCTCCAGGTGGTTGTCCCCACATCAGGTCACAAGATGGTCCATCTCCCACCTGTAGGCAGACTCGTCCCCACCAGAGATGAGGGTGGTGTCGTCTGCGAACTTCAGGAGCTTGACAGACTGGTGACTGGAGGTGCAGCTGTTGGTGTACAGGGAGAAGAGCAGAGGGGAAAGAACGCAGCCTTGAGGGGAACCGGTGCTGATGGTCCGGGGGTCAGAGACGCGTTTCCCCAGCCTCACGTGCTGCTTCCTGTCAGACAGGAAGTCTGTGATCCACCTGCAAGTGGAGTCGGGCACGTGCAGCTGGGAGAGCTTGTCCTGCAGCAGAGCCGGGATGATGGTATTGAAGGCGGAGCTGAAGTCCACAAACAGGATCCTGGCGTATGTTCCTGCTGTGTCCAGGTGCTGGAGGAG